GCCGGGAGCGGCCACTGCCCTCCAGTCTGGGCGACAGAGTGAGACTCCAACTCAAAGAAAGAAACAAAAAATAATGATGTTCTTTTTCTTAAAATGGCTAAATTGTCTCTCTTAAGCACCATATTCTGTATTTTATAATCATTTTGAGTACAAATTAACCATAGCTCTTTCTTAAGGAGTATATAATCAACTGAGAATTTAACCTGTGCCTGATAACTGAGTCAGGACTGTTAATGCAAATTATGCACTATCCTCAAGGGCAAACAGATACACGTGGTTGTTTCTAGCACAAAACGAGCCTAGAATCCTGCTCTTCACAGTGCTGTCTCTTCTCTTCTGTACTGCTTCCTCAACATTAGCTCTTGGCAGTTCTCGATGCCCATCTGTGCTAGCACTAACCCCGTCTAATTTGCCTGTTACCTGATGTAAACTGGGAACAATTCTAATAAGCTTGATTAAGTCAAGTCAGAAAGTCCTTTGGGCAGAGTGGAGTGGTTTTTGACATCTTTGTACTGATTTCTGAGGGGGAAGGGAAGAGATACAGTTATTTTTAGGTAAACAGTTGTGTTTCCAAGGATCTAGGTTGTTGGAAGCCTGACCTTCAGATATGTTGGCTATTTCTACACATAAAATGATTCACAGCTTAAAAGAAGTAATTTCAAATATTCAGAAATACTCTAGACTAGATGTTGAGGCTACTGATAACTTATTGAAATGACTCTGAAGCCTAATGTGACCTGGTATCTGTTAAAAATAAATTGAAAAGGAGAAAAGTACTTACCATTGCTATCCATAGAACAACATATTCGTCTACAAAATTATTAAAGTATTGGTCTAAAAACAAAAGACCTGGCCCCAAAAAGACAGTGTCTTGAAGATATAGTTCACTTTTGGTCATGTGAGCTATCTATAAAAAAGTAAATAAAATCATTTCACTATTATATTTTAAATGTTTTAGCTTGTATTTTCAGGTTAATTAATTATAACTTTCACTATTAAGACAGAGACCATTTAATCCCTCATTTGACGTAGGAATACTTATCTACATTTTCTTAAATTCATGACTGGACAGATTAAACTTTCCAGTGTTTAAATTCCTTGATATCAGAAAGTTGTAATTGATAACTACAGCTAAACAAATAATTAAAATAACTGAATATAACATTAACTCATATCAGTTTTACTTGGAGCACAAATAGCTATTTATTAGTATGTTGACATCACAAAAGGAAACCTACACATTTTATGAAATATATTCTAGCTTTGTGTTTGAGGACTAAGTACATAATTTATACCAGGAATCATAAAATAATTTCTTACCACTAATTTTTGTGAGACTTTTGAAAAGACACATCCAAACATTAGGGTATAAAGACAAGGATGCTTTTCAAACACGTTTGTTGCTGACTTTTTATAGATCACTATTGCCAGTATAATAATTAGTCCTATGTGAAGTCCAGGTGACAAGACACTGGTTCCCTACGGAATAAAGCAGAAAATCAGTATCACATTTTAACACAGCATTTGTTATAACGCAAACATTTTCTGAGCATCTATTTTGTGCAAGGAACTAGAGGCCTAAAGAACAGTATGATGTAGTATGTAGCCTAAAGGAGTATACAAACCTTAACTGTGCTTTTCAAATTTCCACAGAACTTGAGGGTTATACAGATATAATATACAGCACCACAGATGTTTGTTTTCAGTTTTATATTCACACACCTGTTTTAAACTAGTAACCAGCTAAAAATTAATGTACTTTATTCTATATGAACTTTTACTATGTTGAAAGCCAACCACACTGGGATTGCCAAGTTAACATTTTTGTGGAGATACTAAAATAAAACTTATCCTGCCAGTTCTACAAAAAAACTTTTTTTTTTTTAACAAGCCCTTGTGTGGGAGGGCTGACTTTCAATACATGGCAGCAAGGTACAAAAGCTCTTAATCACTGAGTAGGAGGAGTTTAAATCTTCCCTGGTTTCTCTCTTCCCTCGTTTCTACAACAACACAGTTGCCCCTTTTCTTGCATTCATACTGAAATTACGTAAAATTGTACAGTCTAGGTCATTACATTTTTATCTGTGTGAATTAGTATACTCTCCGCACTGCTTATCCTAAATAAAATACTGAAATACATTTGGTGTTAAAGCTTACTAAATTTATAGCCAATTTAAATGTATTTATTAAAATAGCCTTACTCTTATTCCTTAAGTGTACATGTTTTAAGTTGTAAAATTACAACTAAAATTACAGTAATAGCACTATAAGTACTATATACATAATAAAACAATACTATATAATAATAAATTGTATCATTTTTTTTTGAATCGTAATCTTACTCTTTCGCCCATGCTTGATTGAGTGCAGTGGCACATTCCTAGCCACTGCGGCCTCAACCTGCTGGTCTCTGGTGATCCTTCCACCTCAGCCTTCCAAGTAGCTGGAACCACAGGTGTGCGCCACCACACCCAGCTAATTTTTTTAAAAATTTATTGTAGTGATGAGGTCTCACCAAGTTGCCTAGGCTGGTCTTGAACCCCTGGGCTAAGGCAGTCTTCTCACCTTGGCCTCCTGAAGTGCTGGGATTACAGGTGTGAGCCACTACGCCCAGACAAATTATATATACTTAAACTAATAGTTCTTTATCTGTTTTATACATTATGGTTCTTAGATTTCATTCAAGAAAAAAAATACTACTAAAAAAGTTGGAAAAATACCAGTTTAATAGTTTAAAATCAGCCACTTTTTAGCTTACATTTGATTTCTTAAGTAATCCTTCAAGTATTTAATAATCAATTCTTTCTTAGTAAAATATTCTCTAAAATGGACACCGATCCTTACAAAATCTTATTTTCTTTAGTGGAACTTATGTTCCAGCTAGTGTCCTATTTTTATCATCTATGGTCAAGCAACATGTATTCCTAAGTACCTTATACACAGTACTGTACTGAGGTCAACTTATAAGACATTTTAAGAAATGACAGTTTTTTGAAATATATCAAACATATATCAAAATGAATTTTTTTTTTTTTTTTTTTTGAGTTGGAGTCTCACTCTGTCGCCCAGACTGGAGTGCAGTGGCCGCTCCCAGCCACTGCAGCCTCGACTTGCTGGACTCTGGCGATCCTTCCGCCTCAGTCTTCCAAGTAGCTGGAACTACAGGTGCGCGCTACCATGCCTAGCTAATTTTTTATTTATTGTAGAGATGAGGTCTCACCAAATTGCCCAGGCAGGTCTCAAACCCACGGACTCAGGCAATTCGCTCACCTCGGCCTCCCAAAGCACGGGATTACAGGCTGAGCCACTGAGCCCAGCTATCTAAATGAATTTTATACTTTGCCTTTGAATTATGAAAATTTATTCATAAAGATTGATAACTTATGAATTACGTAGACTCCTTTGAAATTGTCTTAACAGTCAATTTACAAGTCATTTAAGAGAATGAAACTTTTTTTTAAACTAAAAATGCTATATCTCATGTTTATTACTCTTCTTATTTATTATACCTGTTTATTATTTATTATACAAAGTGACTTTGTTCCCCAAAACCAAATCCTCCATTAAAGGGCAGAACGTTTTGAACTACAGAACCAAAGAAGTTAAAAGAGAATACACTATAGCTTAAAGCAGTCCTAAAAAAGGTATTCTAACAACGTTTTGGTATAAGATGATATCACTGAAATAAGTACTTGTTTTCCTGTGTTCAACTACCTTGAAGATAATAGGCTTTTAAACAATATAGGTATTACACGTTATCACTGTAAGTGTTTAAAAACTTCACAGAAATGCCAACTCTTTCCCACCTAAGAGTATTGAAGAAGTTTTAAAAAACAAATATAGGCTGGGCACCGTGGCTCATGCTTGTTATCCCAGTGCTTTGGTAGGCTGAGGTAGAAAGATTACTTGAGCCCAGGAGTTTGAGACCAGCGTGGGCAACATAGCAAGACCTGCACAAATTTAAAAATTAGCCAGCTGTGGTGGGTCACAGTTGTAGTCCGATCTGCTAGGATGGCTAATGTGAGAAGACTGCCTAAGCCCAGGAATTTGAGGCTCTAGTGAGTTTGACTGCACTCCACTCTGTACTCCAGCCTGGGTGGCAGGCTGAGATCCTGTCTTTAAAAAAATAAAAAACAAATATGAATAAATACATTAGTACTATAGCTAGCATGAGCAAAGTGTAAAGAACACAAGCACAAGACATACCTATTCAACTTAAGAACTAAGGCTTGCAATTTTTACCTATTAAAATATTAGAATAATTATTTTAAGTATATTTCAGTGAAATTTCAAAGAAATTTACTTCATGAATCATAAATTGCCCCGTACATAAAACCACTGACCTTTGGCAGCTTTCCTCCATTCTTTCAAGAATTCATTCCCTACTCTTTGTCCTCTCTTCTATTAGTTCAAGGCACAAAGTGCAGGAAAACAAATAGTAACTCTTAATTTTGTGCAGTAGTGAAACAATGGATGATTAAATGAAATATCAGAAAAGTTTAGGCAGAGAAAGCTTGTATAAAGAGGAAAAATATTTATTATCAGTCTAAACTATTTTAAAAATGCTTTTATATTGTGTGCCTAAAATGAATTCTTTTAAGATACTTAGTTTCCTTCCCCATCCTTGAACTCTGGCATATTTTAGTATAGTGATAAGAAAACTTACAAAAGTAATACTGAATGAACATGCAATTAATGTCTTACTGCTACAGTGGATCCATTCTTGCCAACGCCACCATGGAGGATAACATGGAAATAATTTGAACAGGAAAATATTGCTCCACCTACTACTCCGAGAACTGGAAAGATCTTCAATTTTATTTCTAGGATAGGTATCTTTAGGGGTAGAGGAAAGAAATTAATAAGAAAACATAATTTATTTTCCTATTAAATAAATATTATGATGTGGCCCTCTACAATAAGCTATCCTTTTTCTTATAATTAAACTTTAATTTCTGGAATATAGTCCAAAGTATTAACTTTTTTGAAACTGCTTTATTTATTAAATGAAAAGTGAATTCATTCTATTTACACAATTATGATTAAATATTTACTCTCTTAAGGCATCATCTGACTTAAACATGAAAAAGGATAGTTAACTTGAATTTAGTAGCCTCTAAAAAGCAGCATCACTGGAAAGGCAAACACCATGATCTGCATCATAAATGTGACCAATATCACGATGTGTGTGCATGCAAAAATTTTGTGTAGTTAATATCCAGGATTATATGTCTAACAATATATTTACCTGTTGGTCAATTGCTGTTCAAGAAAACTTCCAAAGGCAGCAAAGGATTTAAAAAACAGTAACAATGAATTGCCAGAAGCTGTAGGCTATTTTGTTTTGAAAATAGACTTTGAAATATTGTACCAAAATTCATGGAAACTACAGATAAACAATTAAATTTGGAAAACCTGAGTCAAAAATAAGTATCCTTGTTGGTAAGAATAAGCAGGTGTATTTTCTTCCTATGATATTCCCAAAACGTTGAATGAAACAATTTTAAGATTCAATTCCAAGTTTAAGACAACCATACCTGACTTAATGACCGGAGTTGCCTAGCTGCTTCTAGTCCACATTCACCTTCTTCCAGGTACTAGCTGAACAGCTACCATAAAGGACACATAGCATATCTCTGGTATATCATACATGTCTATCCTTAATTCTTTTGTTTATTCTTTTTTTTTTGATTCAGAGTCTCACTCTGTGGGCCAGGCTGGAGTGCAGTGGCACTCTCATGGCCACTGCAGCCTCAACCTACTGGGCTCAGACAATCCTTCTGCCTCAGCTTTCCAAATGGCTGGAACTACAGGTGAGCGCCACCACGCCCGGCTAATTTTTTCTTTTTGGATTTATTGTAGAGATGTGGTCTTGCCAAGTTGCCCAGGCTGGTCTTGAACCCCGGGCTCAGGCAGTCCTCTCGCCTCTGCCTCTCAAAGTACTGAGATTACAGGCTTCTGCCACCATGCCGGCATTTTTGTTTACCTTTACATGATGAGAGGGAGTATGAATGTCTTGGGGAATGTACCACTACTTAAAAATTTGCTCAAAAGTATATTCTGAGCCTACAGATATGAATGGTAATTGGCAATTCTGATACTAAATTCTTCAGGGAAATCTTTGACTATGCTTTTAACAGACAATTTTTTTTCCGAGCAGTTTTAGATGCACAGCAAAATTGAGTGGAAAGTACAGCCTCCTCCCACCACCCAGTCAGTGTACCAAACCAGAGTGGTACATCTGCTATAACTGATGAACCTATATTGACACATCATCATCATCCAAAATTCATAGATTACACTGTCATTCAATCGTGGTGTTGCATATTTTATGTGTTATAGTAAATGCATGATGTGTCCCCACCATTATAATATCATGCAAAATAGTTTCATAGCCTTAAAAATTCTCTGTGTGCCACCTATTCATCCCTCCCTCTCCCAAACCCTGACAGCCTCTGATTTTTTTTTTTTGAGTTAGACTCTCACTCTTGTCACCCAGGCTAGAATGCAGTGGCACACTCAAGGCCACCGCAGCCTTGACCTGCTGAGCTCAGGCGATCCTTCCGCCTCGGCCTTCCAAGTAGCTGGAACTACAGACACACACCACCACGAGGTCTCACCAAGTTGCCCAGGCTGGTCTCAAACCCCCGGGCTCGGCAATCCTTTCACCTTGGCATCCCAAAAGTGCTGGGATTACAGGCTGAGCCATTGTGTCCGGCCTGATTTTTTTTTTTTTTTAAGAGGGTCATGCAGTGGCACTATCATGACTCCAACTCCTGGGCTCAAGCAATCTTCCCACCTCAGTTGTGTCACCACATCTGGCTGATTTTCTTATTTTTTGTAGAGACGGGGTCTTGCTGTGTTGCCCAGGCTGATCTTGATCTCCCGGCCTCAAACGATTCACCTGAGTCTCCCAAAATGCTGGGATTACAGGCATGAGCCACGGCACCGAGCCTGATCTTTTACTGTCTCTACAGTTTTGCCTTTTTAAAAGAATGTCATATAGTTGGAATCATACAGTATGTAGTATGTTTCTTATACGCATTCAAGGTTCCTCTTACGTCTTTTTGTGGCTTGATATTTCTTTTTAGCGCTGAATACTATTCCATTGTCTGGAGGTACCAGTTTATCCATTCACCTACTAAAAACCATCATGTTTGCTTCCATGTTTTGGCAATGTAAACATTTGCTATAAACATTTGTGTACAAGTTCTTGTGTGGACATAAGTTTTCAACTCATTTGGATAAATACCAAGGAATGTGACTGTTGGACCAGATGGTAAGAGTATGTTTAGTTTTGGATCTCATACTATTTTCACTGGATATATATAGCTTAGTGATTATATACATACAGTCTGGAGTCAATCTACTTAATTCCTAGCTCCAGTACTTCTCGTGTCCTTGGACAAATTACTAAGACTTATTTATAAAACAAATAATAGTTCCTGTTTCATAGGGGTGCTCTGAAGGGCAGATGAAACTGACAGTAAAGTGTTTAGGTACACAATAAGTATTGAATGAATGTTAGTTGTTATCCTTATTCTTCTTCTTAACTCTATGAGCAGAAAGTTGTGAGTCAGTTAGCCAGTAATATGGACTTAGGTAGTGATGACAGAATAATGCTTCTTCATAAATGTTTTTCCTATCCAAGAAAGCTTGAGTTTATGATAGCAGCCTACTAAGCCAAATTTTATCAACATGCTGAGGTCACCAACCAAGCAGAAAATAAAAACACTCCTTAATATGGGAATTTTCACCTCAAAGTAGATAATAAGTATACAAACTGGGCTGGGTATGGTGGCTCATGCCCGTAATCCCAGCACTTTGGGAAGCTGAGTCAGGAGGATTGCCTGAGCCCAGGTATTCGAGACCAGCCTAGGCAACATAGAGAGACCTTGTTTCTACAAAAAAACCAAAAAATTTATCCAAGCATGGTGGCATGCATCTGTAGTCTCAGTTACTTGGGAGGCTGAGGCAGAAGCATGGCCTGAGCCCAAGAGGTTGAGGCTGTGGTGAACCACAATTGTGCCACTGCACTCCAGCCTGGGCGATGCTGCCTCTAAAAAAATGCAAATTAGCTGCTTTTCTTTCCTAATATTGAGGGACAAATTTCAAATGTAAAATATTTTACTGGACTTATTTTTTAAATTATTTATTTTATGAGATACATTTTAGCCTGGAAAAGGTAATTCCAGTGTGGATTTTTTTTGTTTTTGTATTAAGTAAATGGGGTTTTTCTATGTGGTAATATATTCACAAACAGGAGAAAATGCCATAATAAGGCATATAGGATAATAACATCATGAAATGAAGAAAAAAATGTTAAGAAATAAAGTAAATATTAAATACAACATCAAGGATTTTTGAAGAAAATTAACAACGCAATTTTTTCCTAAATATTTAGAAAGTACTTAAATATAAATTTAAATATTCAGATTTACCGTATAGTCCCACATTGTTGCTCCTCCAAATGTAGACAACACAAAGACAATCACTAAAGCTATCTGAATTTCAGTTACATCCACTCTAAAGAGGAAGGACAAATAATAGATAAAGAGTCTGTAAATAAAATTCTTGAATATGGAGGTTTGTTAATCATGTATTAAATACCAAAGATGTAAAAATCTCTATAGGCTTAGTTTATTTTTACCTTTACTTCCATCATTGAATGATCAACTGACTGCACTGTTAAGTAAAAAAGGCTACAGAACAACACGCATTCACACATAGGTAAAGAGTATATGCAGAGGGCGAAAATCTGCATAACATGTCAAATTGCTAACGTTATCGCTGAGGTTACAGAAGACTTATTTCCTACTTTAAGTTCTTCTGTAAAGTCTGAATTTTTGTTTTTGAGTTGGAGTCTCACTCTGTCGTCCAGACTGGAGTGCTGTGGCCCCTCCCGGCCACTGCAGCCTCGACCTGCTGGGCTCCAGGGATCCTTCCGCCTCAGCCTTCCGAGTAGCCGGAACTACAGACACACGCTACCACGCTCGGCTGATTTTTTGATTGATTGTAGAGATGAGGTCTCGCTGCCCAGGCGGGTCTCGAACCCACAGGCTCAGGCCATCCACTCACCTCAGCCTCCCAAAGGCGCGGGATGACAGGCTGAGCCACCGAGCCCAGCTTGAATTTTTTTTTACAACAATTATTCATTACTCTTGTAAATCAGGAAAAATTGTAATACAACCAACCATATGATTTAAGGCAAATTCTTAAACATTCTCAAGTCAATTTCACTTCAAAAGCAGGGAAAATTCTAACAGCCTTTCTTATTACTAATAATTACTATAGTTTTTTAGTTTCCATAGACTTTTCCCCGATATATAGACCTATTTAAATTTCTCTCAAAAAACCACTAACCAACATCAGTCTCTCTAGTCTGCATTCCCCTGAAGCTATCAAACTCTCCCTTGTTCCATCAATAGGCTGACTGAAAATTAGTCTACCTTTGTAATTTCTTCCTCTCTTCATATTTGCTGCTTAACTCTCTACAGTCTGGCTTTTGGCCCCATTATTCTACTGAAATTATCTATTGTAAACAGGGACTTTTGATTTGTCAAGTCTAAGAGATACATTTCAGTAATTATCTTGCATAGCTTCTCTGCAGTATTTAAGATGTTGATCACACCCTTTTTCTTGAAATGCTCTGCTGTTTCTATTGATTCCATGCCATCTCCTGGTTCTCCTGCCTTGCTGGAGCCCTTCTCGGGCTCTTTCTTAGATTGCTTCTTCCTTCATATCTTAAGTGCTGTTTTCAGAATTCCGTCTGGAATTTTATATGCGCTGAGCAATTTTATCTATACTGATGACCGCCATCTATATGCTAGTGACCTTTAAATCCTTGTCTCCAAGCTCCATCTTTTTTTCTGAACTGTGGATTTGTGTATCTGTCTACATACTTTATATCTCCACTTGGATACTACGGGGCCTGAGTGTATTTATTCGTTTATTGAGTCAGGGCCTCACTCTGTCACCCAGGACGATCACGGCTCACCACAGCCTCTACCTCCTGGGCTCAGACAATCCTTACACTTCAGCCTCCTGAGTACCTGGGACTATAGGCACGTACCATCGAGCCTGGCTAATTTTTTATAGAGATAAGCTCTCACTATATTTCTCAGGCTGGCCTTAAACTTCTGGATGCAAGCAATCCTCTTGCTTTGACCTCCCAAAGTATTGAGATTAGAGGCATGAGCCACTCTACCCGGCTCCCTAGAGTCTTTAGATACTTATTACTATGCAAATATAAGAAATGTTGGGATCAGATGATAAAACCAGATATGGAAGAAAAAGACTCCTTGACTGAATTATTTTGGGGGCAGTTAGAAGGAAAGGATGAATCCATGAATAAAAGGAAAATATGAATAATGACATTCAGTATTTTTTAGATCAGTGGCAGGCAAACCAGGGCCTCCAAGCTGCCTGGAGAAATAGTCAAGTTAGTTGAAAATGGTAAACAGTAGGGTAGTGTATGGTATTTTATGGAGGAAAAGGAGAAAAAGTACAAACATTTGCTGAGCATCTATTGTTTTATGAGCTATACATTATCCCTGTCTTTTGAAGAGGGAAGCTGAAATGATTTTTCAATGCCTATATTGAAATAGTTTAAATGTTTTAATACTCCTCCTACTGCACTTGTGACTCATTATCAGTGTTGCGCTTTTTCCAATAACAATGACAGCACAATGACATTGTTATCCATAATTGTCACAGTGTATGACTAGTGACCAGAAGCAACTAGGAAAGCACATAGGGATTACAGAACAAAATCTCCCCAGATGAAACCGAATGACACATGGGGATTGAGCTAGGAACCTGGTTTCACATCTACATCATTCATACCAAGGATTTTTAATTAAACTCACAGCTTCATTCTCCTTGTGTGCCTTTTAAGGTAAATTAAATAGATTACAATTCTTGAGTCTGGAAAAAAGAAAGTTAAAGGGGTATGATAAAAATCTATTAAGTTGTGAAGTTTATGGGAAAAGCAAGGGTGGAATCACTCACCAAATCCTCAAATATTTGAACTATAAAGAAACAGTTAACATTTAAAAGATATATTAGACAAACAAAAGACTGTTCTTTATAACAATTCATAAACTTATAGAACTCATTAATGGGTCTAAGTTTTTAAAAGTTGTATGCACAAAAAGAGGCTTTAAAAATACAAGAAAGATGGATACTGGGGCTATGGTGAGGGTATATCCTTAACTCCCCAGGCTGTTATAATGGAGGACAATCTATAATAGTGCTATTCAACGTGTGGTACAGAGTTTGCTCATAGTGAGATCAGTACAGAAATTGAGAGTAAGCATTAGAAAATTTTATGGCAATATGACTCTGTCAAATTGCATCTAAATCAAATGAAACATTGAGGGTTATATTTTGTAAGTCTGGTTTTTTTTTATTTTTTATTTTTTCAAGTCAGAGTCTCACTGTCACTCAGGCTGGAATGCAGTTGCATGATCATGTCTCATTGCAGCCTCAGTCTCCTGGGTCCAGGTGATTCTTCTGCCTCAGCTTCCCAAGTAGCTGGATCACAGGCATATGCTACCATGCCCGGCTAATTTTTTTGATTTTTTTGTAGAGACAAGGTCTCCCTACATTGCCTAGGCTGGTGTTGAACTCCTGGGCTCCAGCCGTCCTCCCACCTCAGCCTCTTAAAGCGCTGGAATTACAGGCATGAGCCACCACACCTGGCCTGTTTTTTTGTGTTTTATTTAAAATTGTATGTTATTAGTCCAGGATGAGTTGGAGGAGGGACTGGTACTCTACCACAGATAGTTTGAGAAATGGATCTAATACCATATGGAAATTCTCATGGTTTTGAAAGGAACATTAACACTGCAAATAGTAAATGCAAATAATAAAATGTCACATCACATAAGCTAATATTGGACTTGAATTTCAAATGCTTGGTTTATATTATCACAAAGAAGGTGAGGGTTTAAAAATAAATAAATAATAAAATACTTGGTTTTGATTGAAAAGGTAAGCTTGGAGCTCAGTTTGTGCTACTGAATTATATGAGACCCTTGCTATAGGGAAGTGAACATGTTATAAATAAGATACACCTTATTGGACAGGACAAGCATGTCAGTAACACAAGGCCAGATTTTAACTGTAAATGTAACTGTAAATAAAACTAACTGTAAATTTTTTTACTGTGTTAAGAAAAAATTATATTACTTAGCTAAGGAAAATACCAGTGTATCACTGATAAACTAAACTTAATTAACTACATAAACTAAACTATATGAAGTGACAGTTGAAAATTACAGTTAAAAATAGTTACTGTTACTAACAGTAACTGGTTACTAGTACCGGTACTAGTTTAAATTATCTAATTCACAGTAGTAAATTCATATTTATACTGAAATCTACATATTTCAAGAGATAAAACAAATTTTCACAAGCAGAATATAGTGTTTCTGTTCTATGGAATAGTATAGAACGGTATTTTTAGAGTCACAAAAAAATGGAATAGTTTTTAGTTACTCTTTTTCATAGTTAGGAGAGGCAAGTTGCCATACACCTTGAGCATCCCTGCATGTTTCTTGAAAGATCCCGGCTACTCTTTACCTGGGCCATTTCTCAGGGTTGTGTATGCAGTGAGCAGCCTTGAAGGATGAGATAAGCATCTGTTCCCAGACAAATCAGTCTTTCTCTCTTATGATGCAGACCACTGCATGTGCAGAGTTTCATCTAGGCCCACTTTTGTGGCCCCACAGGGCTGTGGGAGGAGGGGGGAACATGGGAACCTAGCACAAGCATGAGTTCTGAGTAATAAAGTTGTCCTCTGTTTCTGACCCAGGAGTTTTGTGTCTTCTGCCAGCAGCTAGGAAACATCAACAGGTTAGCTTGGTAGTTTGTAAGTAGAGTAAAATCCCAGACCCTTTATAGTTCTTGACACAGCACTCATCACCATCCAATGTATTATACGCAGTATTTACTTGATTAGCTTGTTTTACTGTATATCTCTCATATTAGACTGTAAGCTCCATTGGGGGCAAGGATTTTGTCTGTTTTATTTACTTTCGTAAACTTACCACCTAGAACAGGGCTAGGTGCTAGCCCTGGCATAGAATGGATGTTCAGTAAATATTTGTATAAATATTGCAAAAATATTTATCAAATACATTGTATAAATATTGTATCAGAATTCAATAAAATTACTCAGTAAGTTATGTTGACCTTCTATCTGAAATTTATTTAAACTTAATTTCGTCTGTATGCTTATTTCCTTGTGATATGAGTTATTTACTAACTTATGATTAATATATGACTTCTGTTTTTCTTTTATTAAGAGTTACTTTTTAATGTCACTCATGCAAACAAACAAAATAAATGGAATTAAAATAAAAATAGCATGGTAAAAGTTAAGTTTATTATTGAGTACTTCTATGTTTCAGATTCTGTACATTATATTACACATTATTATTTAATTTTCACAATAACCATTTAAGATCATTGTGGTTATCCCCACTTTACAGATAAAAAACTGAAGAAAATGAAATTAAGCACATTTCTGGTCAAATAACTGGTATGGTATATTGGAGCTGCAATTTGATTCTATTCAGTCTGATTCCAGAGCCAGAGCTTTTAACTATTATACTTAACGCAGCATCAATACTGACTTATAAATGACTTAAAGGGATTTCAAATTCAGGAAAAAATTATGTAGCAAAAATGTAGTAATATTAGTAAAACTTTAAGTTCTTTAGCCCAATTAAACTCATTTGGCATGGTTTTCCTTTAGTCTTTCAGAAAAGGAGGAAACAACATAAAATAGGATTAAACCAAGAATGTATTCATAAAACCAATTTCCACAGTGTATTCTGAGATTGTTCAACCTGGTTTCATGTATCTGTATTCAAACAATATAAACACTATAAAAATGAAACCCCCCAAAATGGACAGATTTTCAGGAAATCCATCCTAGTCAATAGATAATTGACAATGGCTCCATTTATCATCATTTCCAGAGGCTTGGTTGATGGCCTAAATACAGCTCTACCTCACAGTGTTAAGCAAGACCTTCAATCTACCTACTATAATCCTCCATGATATTTATACTTTGGCGAGGAGAAGTAAATGTATGGCTGAGGATAAATGAAATATGGAGTTAGTGTTTAAATGGGGGTGACTCCTGGGACACTGCAGGATCTTCACTCACCTGCAGACTTGGTGCTGAACCACCAGAGCCACTTCCCTAATGTTCTGAGTACCTTCTCATGCTTCTGCCTGGAATGTTCTTTCCCAATCTGTCTGGCGTACTCCTATCTACAGGTGACTCATCTTTATATCTCCAGTTTTAGGCACAACTCAATCAATAGCACATAAGTATAAAATAGGGCAGAAATATGAACTAGCTCAGGAAGATTTGTAATGGAGTTAGATTTTAAAAGGTGAGGTATTAGTCATTAAATAATAACAACAGGCCAAGGCATGGTGGCTCCCACCTGTAATCCCAGCACTTTGTGAGGCAGAGGTGGGAGGACTGCTTGAACCTACGATTCAAGACTAGGGTGGGCAATATAGCGAGACCTCGTCTATACAAAAAAAAAAAATCAAAAATTAGCTGCCACATGTTGGCGTGTGCCTGTAGTCCCAGCTACTTGGGAGGCTGAGGTGAGAGGATTACTTGAACCCAGGAGTTCAAGGCTGAGGTGAACCATGATCTTGCCACTGCTCTCCAGCCTGGGCAACAGATTGAGACCCTGATTCAAAATAACAACAATAATGGCAATCAACCAGAACATTACATTATTATATTAATCTAGTTTCCCATAGCTAGATCATCAAATTAAAGCACACGACACTTTGCAAAGCTGCTTTCCTATTTTAGCATATCTTAAACTATAAATAGGTATAGATTCTTCATTTTACATAGTTGATTTTAACTTTCAGCCTTTTTTGATCCTTGGGATTTTGATCAGTATGTAAAGTATTGGCTAACGAGTCTCATTTTCCACAAAAGCATTCCTAAACTTTTCCTAAAATTCCTAATATTCAGCCTACAGTTACCTTTCCTTACTGAGGATTGCTTCAGTGCTTCTGGAAACCTGAAGCAAGTCATTTTACACTTGGTATGGGCTATATTAGCAGCGTCATAGAAGTATTATCTCCTTAGCACAACAGTGTACTATACAGCTCCTAAAACTGGGCCTATATCTTAAATTTATTTTGTATCCTTCTACTGCAGCTAATACATTGCTGATTTCATAGTACTGAGCAGCTGTCATTAAGAGTGTGGGGTTTGGAATCAAGCAGACGCGTTTTCATCCCAGCTCTACCACTTCCTGGCAGTATATTTGCTCTGCCTCACTTGTACAGTGGAGGTAATATCCACCTTACAGGTAAGTATGAGGAATAAATGAAATGATGCATGTAAAGCACTTAGTACAGTGCCTGAAACATGCAAGTGCTCAATAGGTGGTAAATATAGTTATTCCATAATTAAGAATCAATTGCCTAAAGCCTGCCTTCTGCTAAGTGATCCATAGTTTTGAGCATCTCTCATTTATCATTAACAGAATTTTTTTTCAGAGTTACTGTTTCTCCTTTGCAGCAATAAAGTGAGTCTAAAAAGACTCAGTAGACATGGGAAGCCAAAGCCAAGAATAGGCAAATGGCAGATAGTTCTTAAGAATCAGGCAGAAAGGGAGCTATATGAGAAATGGGAATAGAAATAGTGCTCCTGGCCAGGCGCAGTGGCTCATGTCTGTAATCCCAGCACTTTGGGAGGTGGAGGTGAGAGGATTGCCCAAGTCCAGGGATTTGAAATCAGCCTGGGCAACTTGGCAAGACTTCGTCTCTACAATAAATAAAAAAAATTAGCCAGGCGTGGTGGCATGCGCCTGTGGTTCCAGCTACTTGGAAGTCTGAGGCAGAAGGATCGTCTGGCCCAGCAGGTTGAGGCTGTGGTGGCCATGAGCATGCCACTGACTCCAGCCTGAGCAACAGAGTAAGACTCCTACTCAAAAAAAAAAAAAGTGTTCCTGCTTCATGCACTATTTCCTGGTGTCTAAGAAAGAGGCACTAGAGGCATATGTACTATCGAATGTTTAGCTCTAGCATTTACAAAGTGCTTTCACATTAGTTCACAATTGTCTACCATGGCTGAGTCTTATGACTACCTGATGTGCCCACAAAGGGCCTTAGACTCCATACCACATTATTTTATATAAGTCAAATGCTACTTATTTAAGTATTGCATATCCTTTTTCTATATTACTCAGGTGCCTTATTTTTCTTTTTCTCCTCTCTATTGTAAGCTTGGGCTAGTGAGTAAGTTGGAGAAAGGGAGAATAAAAATAAAATTATTGTCAAATATGTAACTATTTATAATGTGCAGAGCATCTAAAAGACTTAAATTAAGGTATAGCATTTATGGATACTCCAGTAAATGTGGAACAAAAATTTAAATTACTAATTGAAGCTTTGTTGTGGAAAAGTGACATAACAGACTTTGAAAATGAGTTCAATTATAATTTTAAATGTACAACTTAAAAAACGTACTTACTTTCCAAATCGTAACACGCCTGAAACATAAGTCTGCCAATGTGCACAATAAAACATGAACATTCCAATAAAAGAGCAGAAAAACAACCAGTCAGGATGAGTTCCTAAGCGAGCAGCAATTGAAGCTCCTACTGCCATAAATACTGAAAGAAACAAGTTTTAAGAACCATTAAGAATTAAAAAATAATAATTGCCCTGTGCTGTTTAGAAATACAGGTTTTAAGGGAATAATCCTAGCATTAAAATGAGGTACACTTAACAATATGAATTCTTGAACATACTTTTTAAAGATACTGCAAAAATTGCTTCTAAACCTATAGGTATTCAAAAAGCTCAGTTCATTGTATTTTTAATGTATCAATATAAGGAAAAAAAAACTAAAAAAACTCCACTAATTTACCTGTGGAAAGAGAGTCACAACCATGGTCAAAGAGTTCCCCTAAAGGAGAACAAGAGTTTGTTCTTCTGGCTTGTTTCCCATCAATAGCATCCAGTGACTGGTAGATAAAGAGTCCCAGTGCACATAAGAGGTATGCCCAGGATGGTGCCTGAAAATAAATGCAAATAATAAAGACAGTTAAGTGACAATAAGCTAGCTTCTGTTTGAAAACAGCTCAACCTAAGGGTTTACGCTTTATATCATCTCAGTGTGTTATAAAGAACATTTATAACCATCATTCCACAGATGACAGTTGAATTGGTAGAGAGTCACAAAAGTCCATAATGTGAGAAGCACAAAGTTAAATGGCTGAGCAAGGATTAGGACCCTGATCTTGACTGCTAGTCCCCAGCTCTTTTAATAAAATATTCTTCATACATGGCACAGATTTGAAATTACTCAGTAGTCTTTGCTATGAAAAAAGATCTTGGCGGCCAACTGCATGAGCTCCGTGTTCATCCATACCTCTGTCTCCTCCCTTATATAGTCAGAAAGGCATTGAAATGTCTGAGGCAGAAGTTCTCAGACACTGCAGGCAGCCCTGGTTTGTGACCCACGTGGGAAGGGAAACGGAGGAGGCGAGCCCTCAACTGCTCTAGCTTACTGCCTGCGGAAGCAGGACCAGAGCAGAGGCCAGCGATGTGCTGTGCTGAGGAGAATCACATCAGAGTTCAGGAAGGTCAAGGCAGTCAGGATTTGTGAAGAGAGTACCTGAGAGGAGGAAGTTGTGCAGAGGAGGGAGCACAGGTCGTGAGGGTCCAAGAAGGCACCTGCGAGTCTTTGGCTGCGAAATGACCTGTGCCTGAATGAGGCAGAACCACTCCAGGTAACATGAGATTCTAGCATTAAAAATTTTTAATTATATGGCTATCATAACATCTACTGTGTCTTCAAGATCAGAATTTAACAATATATCATATACATCTTTCTTGGTTAAAACTCAGAGATCTGGCCAGGCATGGTGGTTCACACTTGTAATCTCAGCACTTTGGGAGGCCAAGGCAGGAGGACTGCTTGCGGCCAGGCATTCAAGACCTAGCCAGGGCTTTCTTTCTACAAAAAAGAAAAAAATAATAGTAGCTGGGTATGGTGGCATGTGCCTGTAGTCCCAGCTAATCAGGAGGCTGAGGTGGGAGGACTGCTTGAGCCCAGGAGTTTGAGGCTGCAGTGAGCTATGATTACATCACTGTCCTCCAGCCTGGGCAACAGAACAAGCTGCCACCTCTAAGAAAACAAACAAAAATAGAGATTCTACATAATTCTTTTCAATGACTGCATGTTATTCAATTATATGGTTATATCATAATTTAAGTAATAACTTCCCTAACAATGAGTTTATTTTTGTGATATCATGAAAGGTTATTATATAAGTTTATTCTAGAAAACAAAATAATTACTAAGAATTAATCACAATCCCTGCTTACCAAAAGAAAAAACAAACAAACAAAAAAAAACTTCACCGATAAGTTGTTTTTTAGTTACAACAATGAAAAAGAGCTGTATAAAAGTATTTGGTAAATTTTAGCTTTTCTAGTTATTTGAATTATTTATAAGATTCTATCATTCGTTACAGGATTAGAGAAAACTAAATTATAATTCTAAAACTTTCTCAGTATTTCCTGACAACACTGTAATTACTGAACAGAAGCACACACAAATTAAACTGAGGTGCTAACCTGAAAGTCAGACACACGGGCATGAAGTTTATCTTGGAAAAAAGGAAACTCCAAGTCTGTCAGTCCGTTAATTTATTTACTTTGCCCACCTGACTTGCTTTTCCAGAAAACATTTAGAGGTGAAAATCCTGTATACCCTCAGCATTCTCTGGGAAAAATCCCAGGAGTGTAAGAATCTGAAAGTTTCCACATTGAAGACAAAACGCCAGGGAGTGGACAGCAGCTGAAGGACCAAGACTCAGGTGAGAGTGAGGAGTTTTCCTCTTCCTTGCCCTGGAACTCGAAGTCCACAAACAAAGAGAAGCAGCATGGTGCCTTCAGCCTGCCCCCTCTAATCAAAGCCCCCTCCCCAAGTGAAAACTCCGGGTGAACTGTTCCCCCTTTCCTTCTCATCTAACAAATTTCGCTTTCCAGGCAGAACTGATTGGAGCAGAGTGAGGGAAGGGACTGTGTACTGTAGCACAGTGACTGGCACAGAGCGCGTGTCCAACAAATACCCCCGAATTAATGGACCTGTGTAACAATCAAGGTCTTTGTGCAAAAATGATTTTCAGTTTGTATTACAGGAGAACTTGGGGACAACCCTCCCAAATGAATCTCAGAAGTAGAATCTATGGAATGAGCATGACGGTCAAACCATAACAACAGTCAACTTTAAGATCTTTAAACCTATAATGAAATAGAAGCAAGTGAAAAATTCTTATAGAATCAAGTTTTCTTTCTCATCTTTATATGGAAATTCATATTGTCATAATCTTGTTAGAGTATAAGACACTATCCATTATAAGATTAAAGGAAACAAAGTTACTGTATCATTTTAGTGACTAATAACTGGAAAGTGAACTAGGATGATATTCTATTTTATTCCTCTTAAAGTGGCAATTCCCTTGTTTTGCCTGTCAATAATGATAATCACCTTACCTCATAAAAATAAATGAGAAGACATGTGGGTGTTTCTTAACATATGAACATATGAAATGTATACTACATAATACCTCTCTCCTCAGCTGTAAAACTCAAAATTCTCCCAAGAAAATAAGTCTTATTTTACTTTACATTTTTCCACTTTTTTTTTGTTCCGTTTGTTTGTGGGAGGGGATCTCAAAGGAAAGAAACATTTCTACTTGGCTAATATAACCCAAAAGGTATCCTAACATTCAAATATATCTAGGTGAAAACCAGGTCCAATTACCAAGAAAGCCAGCGGAGGGTAGATTAGTAGTTTAAGTGTCACTGGGCCCCCAAGAAAAAAGAAACCTCACAAGTAATCAGATGCTCGTCTGTTGGAGTCAAGAGAAAGGTGGGCTCTAGTCCCTTGGTCAGAAATAAGACTTAGAGAGGGACCTCTAAGACCCAAGAAAGGTCTCAAACTGGTCTCAGAAATAATATTAACTGACCCCTTAGGTTCATGTACTATTCTAGGTTCTGGGAAAGCATTAAAGAGAAGACCCATTATCTGGGTTACAAGCACTCTGGCCACTCCACAGTGTCTGGGGTGGGGCATATACATTGCAGGAAAGCCGGAACCCATTAAACTTAGGAAAACGGCCGGGCTCGGTGGCTCAGCCTGCAATCCCGCGCTTTGGGAGGCTGAGGTGAGTGGACGGCCTGAGCCCGCGGGTTGGAGACCCGCCTGGGCAGCGAGACCTCATCTCTACCGTAAACCAAAAAGTCAGCCGGGCGTGGTAGCGGCGCCTGTAGTTCCAGCTACTCGGAAGGCGGAGGCGGAAGGATCGCCGGAGCCCAGCGGGTCGAGGCTGCGGGGGCCGGGGCGGCCATTGCACTCCAGTCCGGGCGACAGAGTCAGACTCCCACTCAAAAAAAGAAAAGTTAGAAAAACAGGAAGTCTCATGTAAACAGGCTTGGTTTCACATCTTGGGGGAGTGGATCCCTGGGTGGAACTTCGGCCAGGACGACCGGGCTTAACAGGGTCCTCTCAACACACAGGGAGATTTTAAAAAGAGAGAGATGTGACCCATGAATTTAGCCACTCAAGTGTCAGCCAGCCAGATGGGACGATGTTAGTGTTTTCTATGGCTTTCCATGGCAGAAGACACAGAGCATGAAACCTTAGTATACAGCAGTGGCCCCTAACCTTTTTGGCAGGCGTCAAGGATTGGTCTTGTGGAAGATAAATTTTCAACCGGCCGGGATGGGTGGGGAATGGTTTCAGGATGATTCAAGCACATCATATTTATTGTGCACTTTATTTCCATTATTATTATTGCATTGTAATATATAATGAAATAATTATGCAACTCACCATCATGCAGAACTGTGGGAGCCCTGAGCTTGCTTTCCTGCAACTAGATGGTCCCATCTGAGGGCGATGGGAGACAGTGACACCCGAAGTGTGTTGTTTACGTCTAGTCTGCTCCATAATCTCATTTTGGTGGCTGTCATTGTGGAAAACCCTACTTCACAAAGATAGGATGTTGGAAATGGAAGCAGGCTTTTCAGTGCTGATCTGACAGGAGGCAGAGCTCCAGCAGTAACGAGAGTGATGGGGAGAGACCCACTGCTCACCTCCTCCCAGGAACCCACTTAGGCCACTGAACCTTGACAGTGGAATAAAGGGACACTACCAGTCATGGTCACTGGTTGCGTATGGTACCAACCAGCTGGAGAGGTTACAGAATTGAGGTTCCAAATAGAAGCCTCCAGGAGCTTTGTAAGTAGTCAGAAGTGTCACAGAGAACATGGAGAAATCTAGGAGTCTCTTATGGCAGCCCGCCTTCCTCTATAAACATCCCTTCCTCTAAATCTGTATTAGAGAAATAACAGCAATCTAAAACCAAGTCACTGGGAAAGAAGTTAAATACCCAGAGATCTGAACTACCCCTCAGATGTCAATTGTGCCGAGAGGACACATAGAGATCCATTTTGTATCCTGGGTGTCATACCTCTTTTTCTATGTGTGTTTGAATAAGGACACTGCTCAAGAAAAAGAAGGCTTAGAAAATGAACAACACATCTCTGCTCACTGTACAAACTTCACTTACAGCCTTAAAATACTGGGTTTTCTGGTACACATTCTTAGGTCTTCTCTAAATGAAAATGCCAGACTAGACAGTCTCTGACGTGCATTTCAATTTATGGGATCTCCTTCGCCCTGGCCCCATCTTTCAGAATAGGATAACATCCTCCTGCAGGCAGGAGACACGCATTTTGTTTTTAAAATCTGCTGTAGGAGCTAAATAACTAGATGATAATTGATGATCTAACCTTCTCCTATCATGTAACAGGCTACAGCAGTGGTTTTCAAAGGGAAGAATGCATGCCCTGGGCTTTCCTAGCACCGTGGTTAGACGTGTGGACTCTGGACTCCACTTGCACCAGATCATTGCTCTGCCGCCGTGAGTTAGATGAGCTACTTGACTTCTCAGTTCCTCAGTCTCTGTATTTGAAAAATGAAAATAATCACTGCTCC